AAAATCTTGTCAAAGAGTAATTGCTTGTCATACACAATTATTTCAATCCTAGATTGAAACAGATCTATTGCTTAAAAGAGGAAATAAACACTCTGTTTTGAAGAGATTTATTTTAGGTTATGCAAGACAGATGTAACTCCATTGAAGTGCATAGAATTACACTGTTGTGCAATGATTGTGAATTGAAATGAACTCATTGAAACCATTAAGAGAGTATTACAGTTGTGAATGTATGAAACGATGTGACAGATATTTATAAAAATTTTAAATATATTTGCTAGGTTCATCAATTTTTATCCTTGTTACTGAAGTAGACGGGTGGTTAGCGAGTTAATAATCTGTAGAAATACATGTTCTTACTAAAAAAAAAAAAAAAAAAGAAAATGAACAAAAACCAGAACAATTTCTGTTCATGGATGAGGAAATCCATATATTTGCTTCAGATGTAATGGTACGTATGCTTTCCAGGAGGCTTTGTTGGTTTGGGGGTTCTTTTGTTTCTGTTTTTGTTGATTGGTTGTTTTTTTGTTTTCCTTGTTATTGTACGCTTTGCTTGTTTATTTTAAGACTGACATGAGACAGTAGTTCAGTTCCTGCCTTTTTCCAATACACCCCTCTGATCTTGGGTAAATCTAGCAAGACTTTTTTTAAAGGAAAGCAAAAATAGTTGGTTTCCTCAGAAGGTTCTGGAAGGGCCTTGCAGCCTTCCCTGATACTGAAAATCTTCTGTTATGTGTCACATTTTCTCTTGGGGCTGAAGATTACTGAGGATACTTAACCCACCGTTTTTGAGAGATGAAAATAAATTCCTGAAATAGATGTGATAGTCTCAGACACTACAGTAAGGAGCAAGGAAGACAGTGATAGAATATAAATGTTCTGCTGGAGTAACCTGCTTTTGCTTGAGCTCTATGAAATGCATGTGATTTCAGAAAATGTGTTTTCATGTACCCTACGAATTTTGAACTAACTCCCCAAAGAGGATAAGCTTGACTGCTGAAAATGAAAATAGTTTTGCATTCTGAATTTAAGGGGCTAAGTAAAAGCCACGGATTTTTATACAGAAATTCTCATTTCTGGTGCCCAAATCTTGTAATGACTCTTGATCTAGGATTTATCAAGTGTGATTTGATCTTCCATAAGTCAATTCTCAATGAAATAAAAGATATGCTGAATCCCAGAAAGTGCTCAAGGCCAGCTTGATCTAGTAGAAAATGTGCCTGCTCATGCCAAGGGGTTGGAACTGGATGATCCTTAAGGTCTCTTCCACTCCAAACCATTCTGTTATTCTATGATAAATATGTTAAAAAGAACAGATGCATTTGTAAACATATTGTGTTATGATCATGTGTCATTTCATGGTAGTATCTCTTTCCTCAGGCTCTGTTTTGGTCAGCAACTTGCCCCTGGCTGCCTGGATTCCACAACTACCAAATCTAACACGGAAGTCTTGCAAAAATCATCATTTCTGTCCAAGTAGAAACCTGGCTCTGTGGCTGCTTCCTATTCTAAGTCTCCTGCTTGCTGAGTTCTGCAAACTAATAGATTCTCCACGCCAAGTGTGCTCAGCTGCTTTGTGCTGTCTTCTCTTCTTCCAGAACTGCAGTAGTTAAGGCAGGACTAACAGGTACTCCCCTGTGCCCCCTTACTCATCACTTATAATACAGTACAGAAACCACACATGCTTTTATTCTGTGGTAACAGTAACTGAACAAACGATCATTTGAGTGATCCCTTCTGTCATTGCTGGGACAGAAAAAGACTATTGAGTTATGGTGTCTCAACATTAATTAGCTGTGGTAAGAATAGAATGTAAGGCTAACAAGTCACAAGCGACTATGTACATTTTTAATTAACTGGAGTCTATTAATCTAGAAATTTCATTCCAGTTTCTGCTCTCATTGCTTCGTCACAAGCATATACATTGCTGGAAAACTTCTCCTACATTCTGTGTTGGGAGACAACAAGCTGAAGCTGAAGTGAAGTTGGAGGCTGGATGGTTTTCCGTGTGTAACTTGGTATGTGTCCTCAGTTCATGTAGGTGATGAAACAAAATGTCTTTGAGAAATAATTTCACATCTTTTAGCCCCTATTCTTACTATAAGAAGTAATAGTAAGAAGTAATAGGCATGCCCTTCTTTTTTCTCCTTTTTACTTTTACTTTCTATCCCTTGTATCTTTTTTTTTCCCCATACAATAGAAGTTTTCTATCTGCATCTCCTATCCATTTCCTCTTCAAAACTGATACACTTATTTAGAGTTTAATGATGTTTTCATGCTCCTGGAATCTTTTTAATGTAGACATAAAGGTGACATTTGATGGTATCTTCTGGAAAAGAATCATACTTGGATATACATTTGTAGGTTTTCAGTATTTGAATATGAACTGGTTCACAGGCAACGTATTATCAAATGGGGGAAACTTCCTTTTGAACGCGTGGCGATTCCCATTCGATTACTGAGGCTTTTTCTCACAGAGCTCTTTCGCCATTTATGGGACCGTGCTGGAGATGGGCAGACAACGTCCCGTCCCCATGGAGAACATCTTTATTGCCGGTTTCCCGAGCCGGCGAGGTCCTTCGGGCCCGATGTAGGGAGAGAGGAGCAGGGCCTCAGCCGGGCGCTAGGTGGCAGCGCCGCACCGCCCCGGGGCCGCCGCAGCCGGAGCGGGCTGGCAGGTGCGGCTCAGCGGCCCCTGCATCGGCGGGGTCCTGGTCTGGGCACTGTTGTGCTCTGCTCTGCTCCTTTAGAGCCTGGGAGAGGCGTTTGTAACAACCACAGCGCAAGTTTCATAGGCCCTCATTAGGAAAACTATTTATCCTTCAGCTTCTCCCATCAGATCGAAACTCGTGATAAGAGGTGGAAGTAATGTTTCATCCCAGAGTTTTAAGTTTTGGTTGAAGCGCAGCCTGCTGTTCCTTAGCCCTCTTTTGAAGTGTTCCCACCCACTGATATTTCTGATAGCAGGGAGTGCTATACGGTGTAATTCACATGCCTTTCAGCCAGAGAAAAGGGGTAGCTGAAGTAGTGTGGGGGCCTGCCGCGTCTTTGAAGTGCAAATTACACCAGCTGAGACGTCTCAAATACCTGTAGAGTAGGAGTAAAAAAGTTTCAGTGACAGCTAAATAAGAAGAGTATAAGAAATTAGAACTTAAGAAACAACAACAAAAGCCCACACAACTCTGCTGAATTTGATATGCCATATCAAAGGTGGTCTATGCAATAAATGCCTGCATTTAATTGAGATGTTGGACCTGTCTCAAACATACGTACTTAGCTGGAATATATGGATTATTTTCTAGGTTACAGTGTGTAATGTACCATATTGCAGCCTCTTACCCAGACCTAATTGCTCTAAAATAATGCAGCCAGGCTCACTTCTAGTGAAATTCCACCACCTGAGGTGACCTTGCTTATTTCAGACAATTTAATTTCCATCACTACTCACAGTCAGATCTAATCCCTGTCTTATTTCTGTTTACATTGTTTAGAAGTTTAGAATGCCACTTCTTCATTCCTTACTGATTATAAATCTCATTCTCCCATTGATGGAAGATGTTAGAAGCACCAACATTTGCATGTGCCAAATGAGCATTAAATTCATACCCTGCTGTTTTAGTAGCCCCAGAGTGCAATTTCAGAGTTTATACTGTCCAGTGACCGAGTTTAAACTGTTCTCTTTTTCCCTTTGCTCTCTTTCAAACTTTTGTGATCCTGGCTTGGTTTTTGTTTTTGCTTTGGATTGGGTTTCTGGCTGTTTTCATTTTTGGAAAAAGGGTTTTCAGTGGCCAGATGTGTTCCCTTCTCCGTTTTGTATGTTCCACAACTGCTTCTGTTGGTAAAATAGCAGATTAACAGAGGGTACTAAGAAGCAAGTAGAAATACTTCAACTTGTTTCATGAGCAAATTAAATCATTGTGATTTTGATGACCACTTAGAAAACCATGGCTTTCTGGAATGTGTCCCATGCAGGTTACTGGTGCTGTAGGTGTTTCTAGTATTTGAGATCAATGCTGCATGATCTCCCCACTTGTTCAGTGTAGCACTGCTGTGTGTACATGGCTTCTATTGATTTGGAGAACACAGATTGCGTATGTAGCACTTGTATCAGTTGTTCAAAGAGGAAGCAATAAAAGCCCTCAAGGAAACACTTTTAGGTCCTGATCTAAGCTTCTTTGCAGTTAGTCTAAGGATTGTCAGCTGTTCTACTTTGTCTTGAGCTGTAGCAGTTTTCTATAACTGGGCGTCTTGTACTTGATGCTTTGAAATCAGTGGTATTTAAATATAGCTGGAGTTCAGTACTGCAATAGTAATGAGCTGCTTTTTTCATATCCTGGGTATTTCAAACACTCATTTACTTAACGTTATACCGAAGCAAAATTACTATATTGAAGTGGTACTTCCCCAGTTTAAGCAAGTGCATAATTTAAATGTGACTCCGCACGATAGCACAGCTTTTTATTTGATGAACACAAGTATTTCTCTATACAATTTTCCTGTACTGACTCTGAGGCACGATACAGTCCTGCAGTGTCAGCAGAGGTGAGTTGGGTCACTGAGATTTGGGAGGACTGCAGCTTGTCAATTCTTTGGCTCTGAAGAAGCGTTCATTTAATAACTCATTTCTCTAGGTCTAGTATGAGGAGAAGATTGGTGAGACAAGTCCTCTAGTGTGCTCTTTTCTGTAAGATGAACGAGTCTTTTCTAACTCGTTCAGGAGCACGAGGCTTTGGCTGGCGGACGAGCCGCAGCAGACCTCGGGAATGGTGCAGGAGCAACGCTGGCAGGCAGAACGGGGCAGCTCCTCGAAACCCTAGAAGAGCCTCGCTTCCCGGGGACACGCCACATGAGCGCGAAGAGTAATTTAACGCGGGCTGCGGGCGGGGTCTCGGTGATGTAACAGGAAGCTCTGATGGCTCGCTGCTGCCGCCGCTCCTCACTTAGCGGCCGAACCTCTCCCGGTGCTGCCCAGAGCCGCGCTCCTCTGCCGGGCTCTCGGACTGCACCGTGCCCTGCGGGCGCCTGCGCGGCTCCGAGCCGGCCGGCCGGGGAAGCGAAGGAGCAGCTCTCCGCTCTCTCGCTGGGAACGGAGATCCAATCGACTGGGCTCGGATCAACTCCGCGTGGTGAGTACACATCTAAACAGTTTCGTTGTTTCACCTAAAAACGATGTGTTTGTGCCGTCTGAACGCCGTTTGGTCTTACGTATGTTCGAGGGAAGAGTTAGGTGTGTTTGCATGCATTTATGTGAACCTCAGCATGTGCTATGCGATCAGCAGAGAGAAAGGGGTCTTAGGAAAAAGCTTCGTTTATTTTTAGTTACCGAAACCCTGGGCTGATTTTATAGCTGGTGTTGTTTTAATATATATATTTGAGGAAGTAGCCAATGATAAATAAGTAGAAAGATTGAAAAAAAAATCCTAATAATCACCTAAAGATTTCCTTCTAAAACCCTAATATCAGTTAACCATATTTCTGACTTTGCATCTGGAGAGAATTAGAGGCATCCTGATTTGAAAACGGTCCATGAGACTAATCCAATACAACGTAAGCTCTTTCAAGAGGAGACAAATTAGGTGATAAAGTGGTGCAAATTCTCTTACTGAATGCTCTTTTAGCCTTACTGGCGTTATTATTTCAAAAAGAGATTGTATCCGAATTATTTCAGTTAGATTTTGCATTGTTATTATATGACAGAAAAGATGAAGCATCTATTTGCTTGAGAAAAAGTTAGCTTGAGCTTAGTGCTTATACATGTGCTGGGGTTTTTCCTACACTCACTGAACTGATTTGCTGAAGGGTAGTTGTCTACTATTGAATTGCCTTGAGGAGCTATTGGTCAGTAGAAATGCGTGATTCTGTGCCTTCCACTGTACAGTTGAGAGTGTTGCCACTTCTTCATCTTCTGAAAGCAGATGCCGTATTTATTCTGTTTGGAAAAATACAGTTGTGTGGTTATGATGATTGCCTTCACTACATCTGATCATCTGCCTGTTGGGGGAGAGTAATGGATCTGTAGAATATTCAGGAGAAGATATTTTATTACTGAAGGACAGTTAAGAACCAACATAGCTTTGGTATCACAGTTGGATTTGATCTGCATTGGTTCATTTAGTCATCCATATGTGCTTTACGTTGAAACAGTAAAAAAACCCCAACAAACTAGCTGTGGTTTTATTGCTCTCTACCTTAATAAACTTCTGCCAAATACTTTGGGGCTGGATCTTGCTCTTACAAATGTGTCAGTGCTGAGTCTTTGCAGTAATATTGTGCATCCTGAGGATCGTGTCATTCATTTGCAACAATAATGCATATAACCTTTTAAAACTGTTCAGCTTCATGATGTGCTAAAAGCCTGAATGTTGCGTTCGAGGTCCTTTTGATGTGTTGAGAGGAGGCATGCTGGCTCTGGAAAAACATGAATGAGACAATATTTGAATCTGTGTTTTCTTACAAAATACACATGCTGCACACTGAAATGCTCAATTATAAACAAAGGTGTATATTTTCACAGTATTTGCTATTGCAATCTGCTTGAACTGTCATTGACTTGACTGCATATAGGAGCAATTCCAGAGTCTTTATCCAGCCTTAAAAACCATCAGCTCAAAAGGTGCTTGATGGTACTGAATCAAGCAGGATGGCATTTCAGAAAAATGTCCATGTTGTTTTGTACAAAACTGACTGCCTGAACGGTGTGGTGGCAAGGTGGAGAAGGGCAGTATGTCTGTCCTGTTCATATGTTGCCATACTCTGAATTCCTGATCATCTGGGTTCTTGCTCTACATAAAGAAATGTAATGTTACCCTTTGAATATTCTTGTCCCAATACAATGCAACTGTTGTAGTTCTAATTTGCTGAGAGCCAGTGGGAATTTTTCCACTGACTGTCAAAGGGCAGGATATTCCTCAGTGTGGGTATTTTTATGTTGAAGGAGTTATTTATTGTGGTTACAGTCATTACCCATCCTGTAACTGGCATACTGTGATCTACTGGCAGTTGTTCTTTTAATAATTTTTATTTTATGTTCTGTGTTAAACAGATCCATATGTCTTGTTCTTTGTGAATAGTGGCTTACCTGGCTAAAAAACGGAGCCCACTCAGGGACAGCAGCACTGTTCTGTGGGCTGAGTTCTGCAATCCAGGTTTAGAGAAGGATACAATTAAGAACAGAACCGAGAGAAGAAAAGTACAGACATTTCCTTTGCTGGTGCTATAATTGCTAACTTAGTTCCAATTTTCTGTGAATTTCAGTAAATTAGCTGCTTCCAAAAGCACTTGTAGCATGTGGAAGACATGGGTAGGACCGGGCCCACAAGGCTATGAAATCATACTGATGAAGTATTCAAACCGACTCAGTCATTTGGAGGGAACTGTTGTTATCAATGTGTTTTTAATAACAAAGTGTACACAATGATAGTTTAAAAGTATCTATTTAATCACTTCTATAGTAAGTGCTGGACACAACATCAGCTATTATGAAGAAAATTGAAGGAATCTCTCCAATGAGAAGCCAAATACACAGATTTTTATTTATTTATTTATTTTAAAGTAGAATTTCTCTTTAAGAAGTAGCTCTCATGTGTTCCCAACGTATTTACAGTGCTCGTGATCTGCTAGCAAAATTCCTTCTGTGCTTCTGATCAGCAGTCGTTCCTACAGAGCACATACGCACTGCTGGCAGCACCGCAGCGTTGTGGTCACCTCTGTTGCATAGGCGGGTGTTGCTGTGTGCAGGGGCTGCCTGCATTTAGCTTTGCACTCTCTGAAAACGGTTGCTTGTTTCACAAAACAGTTCATGTAACTGTTGTAGCAAGTTGTTAGAGTGCTGGAGTTAAACTATATCCTTGTATCATTGATTTATACATGTGCGCGGAGTATCTCATGCTGATTCGTAGTGTATCAACTAAAGAGGGAATGTACATGATTTGAAGGAGATGTACCAAGTAAATGAGCCTCAAACCTTGTCCTTTGTTTAGAAAACTGTGAATAGTTAGTATTGCTTTAAATTGGCTGCATCTGAATGTTGTATTAATATTTAAAAGAAGAAGGAGGAAGCTTTCCATGCGTGGTCAAAGCCCCCCTCCTTTTTATCCTGTTATGTCTCACGTTAGCAGTACTACTGTATTGAATGTCTTCTATTTTTTATTCTTATAGCCAATATAATACACTGCACAAAGGGCAGCAGAAATGACCCTATTACTTATCTCCATGATAAGTACCTATTATTTTCGTGGAAAAGTCCACAGCCAGTACAGTATAATACAATATCTTAATAAAATACTGTTAGGAAAATAAATTTCTTTTAGCAGCATTTTTTTAGTTCTGTTTTAGAATCAAGACAAAAAACTGAAAGGCTACATTTTAGAATTTTCAGTTATTTTTATTTTTACAACCATCTCTCCTGCATGTCTGCCTTTGTCTCCCAAGCTTGTTTATAATGTTTACATTTTCCCAGCAGTCATTCTTTTTCTGCCTTAGTTCAGTGCAAACACTTTCAATCACCGCTGCAGTATGTGCTGTCCAAAAGAACAGGAATGATTTATTTAGAGTTGCTTTTCCTTGGAAAGATGCATTTGAAATCCATTTAACTGAATGTAATGCATTAAAACAAAACAAAACTTTCCATGAGAGAAGCACTTACTTCAGGAAAAAGAAAACAGATTCCTAACTAGGGTAAATTTTTATGTCTCCCTGAAGCTGTTACCTTTAAATATAACACAGATATCACCCAAGAGTTTCTGGCAGTTTTGGCCACTGTTGAGCTGTGGCTGACAATTAAGACACTAACCAAATTTTAGGAAAGCAAAAACAACGTTGTATTTCTGGATTTGTGCCTGGAGCCCTTACTTAAGAAAATATCCCAAACAAAATTAGTGCTTTGTTTAATAAAGCCCATACCAGTCTCACTTCCCTTATTATACCAAGGACAAGGAACTAAACTTCAGTGAATTTGATTTTATTTTTATTTCAAAGCAGCTTCTCCATGTACAGTATTCCATCAGCTGCATTTAGGCTGATGGTAAAAGGTATCCTTTTAGTTCCAAAAACTGGATTTTCCTTCTAAAAGTATATTGTTTTGTAATCCTGAGCCTGGAAATTGTACAGCCATTTAAGTAGTGGCAGTGCTGGTAAACATTTATTAAGGTAAGCAGAAGATAGACTGTGCACAGTTGTTCTCTCCGAACTCATGCATTTTAGGCTTTTTTTTCTTTTCTTGTCAATACTAACAGAAATGAATATAGTCTGTTTCCCAGTGTTGTTGTACTCCATAGTCCTTCCTTGCTAGAAATTATAGAAAATGTATGTATCAGGCATAAATAAGAACTTGAGACATCACATTACTTTCCTGCATGTATTTATGTATTAATTTAATGCTGTAAACGGAGGAAAAAAAACGTGACTGCATTCTTTAATTATCTTTCCTTAAAGGACATGGTCTTGTCCAGATTATCCTGAAATGTTCTTATATGGGATATCTGCCCTTTTTTCCTCGTAGTGAAATCCAGCAGGTGTCACTCTGGGGATTAAATAAGGAATCTTCCACAAAGAGATATAACTTTGTTTGGGAGATGAGATGTTGAATTTAAAAGATCTATTTCAATGTATTTTTTCCAGGATAACTTTTTGACCATGCCTTTTTCATTTTTAAACGTCTTTTCTTTTTTAAAATTATGTGATTTAATGAGTCTGATCTTTCTGAATGTCCAGTTGAACAGGAAAACCCACACATTTGTATTGGACTATTCAATGAAAAGGTTTATTCGTAGTTGTCAAATCTGGTCCACGGAGAGCTGGGAATCAGTTAAGCATTGCCTTTACTAAAAATGCTTTTGTGTTCTTCCCTGGGAATCAAAATTACTTGTCAGTGGAAATTCTGTTTGCACAAGTGCTGTTTGTTATTGAAACAGTCCATGTATTGGTTTCTATTTAAATCCAAAAATTGACATCACAGATAATTATCCCAACATTCAAAATACTTGGAGAAGAGAGACTTTTTCACGTTGAAGCAAGTTGCTGGTAGGAGAAATTCAATGCTGTATGTTTTGTAATGGGAAAAGAAGGGCTTTTTTGTTGTTTTTGTTTTACATCTGTTGCACAGAGTGTATCTTTTTAGTGTGTTGTG